ATAGCATCGCAAAGAAGCTACGCAGCTGGTCAGGCATTTGGTAGTTGGCGGCCTCCCGCATTGAGCGCCGGTTGTGGCCATCGTCCTGAAGGTAGCCGGCTGCCCGGGCTGCCTCCACGTAGGTACGATAAGTGGTGCCGTTTATAGTGCGTAAGTCTTCAAACCCTTCAATGCCTTTTCGGTATAGCAGTAGAACTCTCAATGCATATGCCTCGTGATCTTTTGGGGAAACGTTGTGGATGCGGCCAATGGTGCGGTCTGTCAAGCGTTTACGCTGGTTCCATTTCTTATTCGACTCGCAAAAGGTATAGAACTCGGGCATCTCGACGTAAAAGATGGTACGCGTGTCAAGTATATTAGCTGGCAAAGCGCCGAGTTCCTCTTCCAGTTCTCGAATATCTTTGTTCTTTTGAAACCAAGCAGTTAGCGTAGTATTTTTGAGTTCGGCATTTCTCAATGCATTGTCGGCACGATGAACATCGTAAACGATTGGTTGATAGTCTTCAAGGTGCACGATCAACGATTTGACAACGTCACTCTTTGCATCCATTTTCATCCCGAGGATGCGATGAACAGACTCATTAGGCCCGACAAAGCGTGCGTCAATGAACTGCTTGATCTCGTCGACCACTTCATTTGCATTATTGGGATCATTTGTGTTGCCGTTTGGATTTTGCCGATCTAGCCCCATTTGCAGGCAGATTCTTGCGCGGTCTGTGCCCTTGTAGCAATACTTAAAAAGGTATTTCACGACATTGAACCACGCGCAGATTTCGAGATTGATATGAGCATCGAACCTTTGCAGCAGATAGGGATTGTAGGGCACGACGTGCCGGTTGTCAAGTTGGACACCCCCGTTCAGAACCGTGCGGCCATCATTTCGGCGCCGGTACTTTGGGTAACTATCCATACAAACCACCGTATCCTGTTGGTATTGCTTGGGGAATCCTTTGGAACACTCGCCATCTTTCATGCAGGGAGAATCTGGGTTTGCCAAACCACAGGCTCTGTGCATCATACATTTGGTGACAATTGCGTAAAGGCGGCTATTCGGGTCTTCCGGAAGCTCGGCTTGGATTAGATGGTCAAGATCCCCAGCCGTACGAAGTTTCCAATGAGGTGTAAGCCATAATAGCATGTGCCTGTGTGGCAGTCCCCTTTTCTGAAACTCAATGACGCTGACATATGCCATCAGACGTCCGAGGACGTGCTGATTGCATAGTTCATCGTCTAGTTGTGCCATTTTGAGCATGAAAACCCGTTCGACCAAATCTGGGCGATCTAATGCCGTTTGTCCCGTGTATAATTCTCTGATAATCTCGGGCCAATTCGGGTTCGCAGTGAACGTCAAGAAGAGGTCTGGCTTGCCATAGCGAGCGACCATTGCCATGGCGTCCTGATAGCTGGCTTTCATGTTCCTGGGGGACCCTTGGTGTTTTGCAGATAGTATGATTCTTTGCCCGGATGGTCCGGTGGCATTGGGATCATTTTGGTGGTCACGCAGACCTTGCACAGTGTCCAACCGCATGGGTTTCTGGCCTTTTCTGAGAAAATCCAGACGATTTTGCTCGATCTTTACCCAGCTGTCCACCACCCATTGTTGGAATAGTTTACACGAACAATGCAACGGATTGAATTGGTTATTCCGCTTGAATAGATGGTACGCGTAAAAATCCATCTGGGTGACTCGTGTGTGAGTCGCACCCGCAGTTGGTACGCGATCAAGGGCCGGATGCCAACCAAAGTCTCCTCGAGGGAACAGAAGGGGGTAGCACATAGGATCGCAGTTTTTATCAAGGTAACTGATATTGCGCAGACCTTGTTGCCGATCATGAACGACCAAGATACGCTTGCCTGGGATTTCTTCGTCGGTACCGACGTAAATGGCGGCCACTTCGTTGGCTGTGGCGGCATTATAGCGTCTTAGGTCGTCATGATTGGTTTGTGCAAAAACCATTTTCACCGCCTGCATATCTCTCCCAACTGCCTGAGCGTTTTGCTGTTCTTGTAGGTACACTTCCTGCATCATTTTGAACGCGCGTGCAAAGGGATTGACCCTGGTGAGCAAGTCGTGCAGTTCGACAAAAATATCGCGCTCGCATTTGCGGTTTATTTGACGGCCGGCTAGTTCATTGGCAGCGTCTCCTGTGTCCATTATTAAAACTTGCGCACATTGACGCATCTGTCCGTTATCCGGCACTAAGCCGCCCACCAAGTGAACGACCTGACCATGTACTTTGTATGGAACTGGCCCTGTGCCACGCGGGGTGTCGAGTTTTGCAACAATGGATGCGGTGGCCAATGAACTGTTGTAATTTCTGATGTGCTCCCTGAACCGTTTTTCGCGCCGATCTGTTCCCGTGAGGAGCTTCTTTAGCTCATCAGGGTAGTCGATGAATATTTGTAGCTTGACCTTGCCTTTGCGACAGCATTGACTGTATTTCCCCCGATCGTTCGTTTCTTGTTCCCAGTGCAAAGCATTACATTCCGTGCATTCACGATTCATCGATCCCAAATCGTGAAGATCTGGGATTTGATCATGATAGCGGGCTATGCCTCCAGCGGTAATTGGCTGTTGAGGCTGTCCAGCTCGAACCGGGAAGACCACGTCTCGCGCAGCAGCCAATCGAGCATCGCGTTGCTGTGGGGCTTCGAGAGCTCTCCGCCGCGCCTGCCTGGCTGACTGAGCCGCTAGGCGTACCTGGCTCTCCTCAGCTGTTTCGTTCTGTCGAAGCAATGCCATTCGGTTACTGTTTGCAGCACGGCGCGCCTGGGTCTGTTCTTGCGTCTCTAGCGCTCTTCGTTGCGTCATGAGCTGAGTGTTTGTCTGACGGCGCGCCTGGATCTGAGCCTGCGTCTCTTGCGCTCTGTGTTGTGACATGTGCTGCGTGTTTTTCTGGCGACGCGCCTGGCTCTGTTCGACGGTCTCACGTCTCCGAGCTTGCGCCATAATCAACGCATTTTGCTGACGTCGAATTTGCGCCAAGTCTTGCACCCCATCTTGGCTAGATTCCGACCTGCTGCCATTAATGGCTCCCTCTCTCACGCCTTGCTTTTTGATCCTTTTCTGGGAATGACCATGACGGTAATTGGTTGTTTCTTCATTTGGCTGTTCTGTGGCTTCGGATAGCGCTGTATGTGTCAGATTCTCATGGGTCCGTTTCTTGTAATTACGCGCTTGGCTTAATCGCTGATCTGTTTGCTCTGGGGTTTCACGTGCCCTCAGGTTTCTTTGTTTTTCCTTTTTGGACAACTTGCGAATGCGTGTGGATGGCCCCGGAATCTCAGGATCGCTAAACTCCATTTCCTCCACTGCATCTGTCAGTGTTGTGCCGGGAAGAGATAGGTCTAGATTTTGCGACTGATCCAGGTTAGATGATCCACCCCCTATGTCGGTATTGTTAGAGCTCATTCCAAAGATTCGGGATCCCCCTCTGCCATTATTTTCTGGGTCTTGGACTTCTCCCTGTCGGAATGATCCGCCACCTGTTTCGCCATAAGGGTACCTCCCATCCAGGTCGACGTGCGCCGGGGTCGTGAATACAGATATAGGAATGGGGGCGAGGAATGGGGGGTCGTTGACGTGGCATCCGTCCGTCCTGGAGTCGTCCGGCGGCTCCGGGTCCATCGCGGCGGCGAGCAGCAGGCCGAGGCAGACGAAGAGGGCCTTCAGCTTGCGGGTAGTCGATGACTATACATATCAATGTATCGCCCTCGTTCATTTTATATCGTCATACACATGCTTATCACGGTCGACTTCCGAATGCAAATGTTCCTTGTGCTAGGTTCGGAAGGAAATCACGTAAAGTGTGACAATAACCGTAGTCATGTTCCTATGGTCCGTATCGTGCTGGAGAAAAATTTATCCTCCCATCCCCGTTAACAGGCAAGCACCAAAAAGTTTCATAGCCACCTGGCAGACCACCCCGGACCGGATTAACTCTCGCGAAGATTTTCAAACGCACCCATCGCAGTAACGGCATAGGGAAAAACCGGCCAAAACCCTGGCGCAATATGCAAATAGCCCACAAAGTTGCGGGGGGGGGAGTTAGAGAATTTCACAAAAAAACCTGATTTTAACAGCGAAAATGGCAATTTTTGAAAATCCTCCGCGTCTTTTGAACACTCTTCAACTGGGACCTGTGAAAGTTTTTGATTTGCATGCTTCTCTCCAACTCCGAAACGGAAAAAAATGAAAACGCCCCCTCTTCGCCTTTATATAGGCTATTTCCACTTCCGGCGTAGGCTAATTGCCCCTAACAAAGCGGGTTTTACAAAAACCTATTTTTAATAGCGAAAACCACAATTTTTCAAAATTTTTATGTGTGTGCAGTCGATTCCGGACCATTCTAAACCCATTGTCGCTTCTTCCCTATCCAAAAAACCCTTCCGCGAGGCTTTAGGAGCGGAACATCCTAACGGAAGTGCATGCAAATATACACACACACACACACAAACACTATTTTTTTATATATAGTAGGATTTGTTTTTTCTTCTCTTATTCATTCTATGTTTAGCAATTTGAGAAAATTAGCTAAAAAATGTTTCTCTCCCAATTCGGGCCCAGTCGTTTCAAAATTTGGTAATGTTCCGATGAAATGAGATTCGTATAATCATAGCAAAACCCGCCGGATTCTGCGGAAACTAAAATTATCCAAAATCTATCAGCCTAAAAAATCTAGGTAACGAGACGAAGCGAATTTTTTAAAATATTTTATTTATCCTTTATATTTAGCTATTTTCCGTGAGTTTTGCTTTTATCCATGAACCTTAATCCACTCCAAAACAGCCAAAATCCCTGGAAAAAAAAACGGAAAAATTCGAAAGTCCATTTCGTTCAAGTCCGTTTTCTAAAAAAGTCCAAAAACCTGAGGAAACTCCGTCTTTTCTTATTTTATCTATATATTTCTTTTTTCTTTTTCTTGGCATGGCGTGGCAGCGGCCAAAAAAAATGTTCCTATCCAAATTCGCGTCTAGCCACTGAAAATTTGAACAACTTAGGCTTGCTTTTCTTGGATCGTATATTCTGACGGGAAAAAACTCAGTAGAAGGCCAGAAACTAAAAACAAATGCGGTAATCGCGTTTTGCGGGGTTTTTAGGAAAAAAGGTTTTTATCCCGGCCAAAGAATCGATAGTTTTTTTCCGAATTAAGCATCTTTTTCTTTTCTGTTCTAAATCTTCGCGACTTTCGTAAATTTTTGCTCCCTTTCCTCGCCTATAAACATGGCATTTTTTTCTATACATTATCAACATTGCCGGACAATGAAAAATTAAAATTACTGAAAAAATGTTTCTTTCCAAGCCCTCGTCTAAAAGGATCCGGTTTGAGCAATCGAGCTGTTTTTTCCTCGGCAATCTCATAATCCCTATAAAACTCGTCGAAATTTTTAGAAAACCGGCAAAATACGAAAGGTAATTCTCTAAAATGTCTTTAAAACAAGGAGAACGCTTTTTGTTTACTTATTTTCTTCTTCCTTTCCCTTTTCCTTTCTAATTTCTCCTTATATTTCTGCCTATTTATTTTCGCGCCAAAATCCCTCACCCCCGTGGTCATCGGCGGCGTGGGGTGAATGGAGAGCCGTTGTGGTGTTGTGGGTGGTGGCCGATGTGATGGGAGGCCGACCGGTGAGTGGCGCCTGAAAAGGGACCAATAAAAAATAAATAAAAATCATCGGAACGATTTAAAAGGCAGAAAGAGCCGGCGTTTATCATGAAAACAAGAAAACAATCGTCACCAGGCCAGAGACAATGGAAAATAGACAAAACGCTCGGTAAAACGAAAATTTCATCCAATTTTTTTGAGTTTTGCAGACTAATAAATTGGGCTTTACACCCTAGAACGGTCAGGTCGTGGAAAACATTGCTATAACCGAGAAAACAGTTCTAGGAGCTTTTCAAAAGTTTATAGAGCTATAAATTAGATTCTCGCAAGCCGAAAATTGTTGAAAATTCACTTTTTACAACTTCCGAATCCAGTTTTTGTCTAGCTACGGCCTCGTACAGAAGAATAAAATCTCTAGAAAGATATAGCACGGTAAATCTGGCTTTGCAGAACCTCCAGAATCTTGCAAACCCAACAAAAACCGATTTTCTCAGAATTTTTAAAGTTTTTAACGCTGAAATGCAGCTTTTTCTAGCTGAAAAAGTTAGCTGATGAATTGCACAGCTCAAGCAAAGCACGTCCAGGAAGGCAAAGCGCGATAATCTAGCTTTTTCCGACGTTTCTAGACCCTAAAATCTTCAAAACGTGAAAAACAAGCCTTGAAACGTTCCAAAAAGTTACCCACATCAGCGATTGCCCGCTTTTCCCAGCCAATTGCAAAACGCCCCAAAAATTCGATGGATTCAATAGCGCGAAATGTGTGAACAGGGGCAGGGAGAAGCGGCGGTGTGGCGAATAAATATAATGGGTTGGTTGTGCCCATTTCGGGGGGATGGGGCAGCAGGGCGTGGATCGGGTGCTGGCAACGAGAAGAGCAGAGGGAAAAGCCCCCCGCGAAACGTGGCGGCCGATCGACGATCGAGATGTCCGGGCGGGATAAGCCCTCAGAGCCAAGTTCCGAGTTCAAAAGCTTCGCGCGGCATCAGGGAAGTGTTCTAAAGCAAAACCGGAAGCTGCAGAAGTTTTCCAAGCCCTCCTTTTTTGCGAAAGATTTTCTAGAGTGGGAAAATCCGCGCAATTTCGAAAGCTTGAACTGCGCAAAAATAAACTTTCTGCGCTACCCGATGGCCTGAAACATGGATTTTCAACCTGTAAACGAATGTTCTGAATTTAAAAACGATTTCTAGCGACTTCGAGAGCTCGAAACGACGAATCTAGGAGGGTTTAAATTGACTAGCGAGAGTTGCAAAAAGCTTCACGAGCTCTTCGAATAAGCGAATCGCCGAAAAATCCGAAAACTATACTGGAAGATCCAGGGAGCTATTGATGTTGGGGGGCATCTTTTTTTGGCGCCCAGTCTTAGGCTTCGGCTTAGCTTTAACTTAACGTTTGGCTTATACTTAGCTTAGGCTTGGTTTTGGCTTAGCTTAGGCTTAGTCTAGGCCTAGCTTAGGCTTGTTCTAGACTTAGCTTAGGATTGGGCTTAAGCCTAGGCTTGGCTTAGTTTATGCTTAGGCTGGGCTTGGCTTGGTTAGCTTAGACTTGGAGACAAGCTTAGGCCGGAAAAAACCTCCAAAAAAAGATGCCCCCCCCCCCCCAACATCAATAGCTCCAGATCGAGAAGAGTGGTTATCGAGCAAAAATCAACTATTCTACCTACCTGTCAGCTCGAAACATGCAATTTTTGAAACTGGAAACAACTTTACAAGCCTAAAAACGATTTCTAGCAACTTCTAGAGCTCAAAATCGGCAAATCTAGCGCGTTTTCGCTAAGAAAAACTCATTAACGTTAGCTTCAGAAGCCTCACGAGCGCTTATAATCGGCCAAACGCCTCGAATTCTGAAAATTTAGCATTATCCAGTCAACACGAAGGACGTATTGAGCAAAAATAAACTATCAAAACTACGCTCAAGACCGAAACATAGATTTTTAAGCCTGAAAGCAACTTTTCTAAAGTTCAAAACGATTTCCAGCAACTTTCGACCTCAAAAAAGGCACTCTAATGAATTTTCGAAACCAGAAAACGAGCGACGAGGGCTTCTGCGGCTCAAACTCACTTCTAGCAGGCGAAAAAAGTTAAATTTTCAGCGAGTTATACTAGAACAGACGATCGAAGCACGGAATTCCATGGAATAAACTATCAAAACAGCCCTATCGCCTGAAACATAGAATTTTTGAACCTCAAAACTCCGAAAAAAACAACAAAATCACCACGATAAATAAAACTATCCAACTATTACAAACCCTAGAGCGCAAAATCGACAACCCGGGGCCAATTTTCGCTAGCTAAATGGGTTTACGAGAGTTGTAGAAGCTTCACGAGCATTTTTTAATCAGGGAAACACCTCAAATCCTTGAAAAGTTATACTGATTCGACGCGAACGAAGGAGCTATTGAGGAAAAAGAAACCATCGAAACTACCTTTTAGTCGGAAACACAGAATTATAAGCCAAAAAGCAACTTTTCTAAAGTTAAAAACTATTTCCAGCAACTTTCGCCCTCAAAAAAGGCACTCTAATGAATTTTCGAAACCAGAAAACGAGCAACGATAGCTTCGGCGGCTCAAAATCACTTCTAGCAGGCTAAATAAGTTAAATTTTTCAGCGAGTTATGCTTGAAAAGACGATCGCCTGAAACAGAGAATTTTTGAACCTCAAAACTCCGAAAAAATGTACAAAATCACCACGATAAATCAAACTATCCAACTGTTACAAATTATAGAGCTCAAAATCGACAAACCGGGGCCAGTTTTCGCTAGTTAAAATGGTTTACAAGAGCTGCAGAATCTAGAAGCTTCACGAGCTCTCCTAATAAGCGAAACGCCTCAAATCCTGAAAAATTATACTGATACGACGCGAATGAAGGAGCTATTGAGGAAAAAGAAACCATGGAAACTACCTTTTAGTTGGAAACACAGATTTTTAAGCCTGAAAGCAACTTTTCTAAAGTTAAAGACCGTCAGAACGATGAAACATCGTTTAAAGCAAGAAAGTTGCGCACCGGGCGGGGGTCGAACCCGCGTTGGTTCGCTTTACAGTCCGACGCGCTAGCCACTATACCACAGTGCCAAGTGGGGAAGGGAGTCAGAGGTGCCCCAAACCCCAGAGGGTCTCTGCCCAATACGGGACACTACTAATGACGACCCTCTCTGCGCGTTCTTGGGGGCAGCACCCTCGGGGTGACAGTGCGCGTTCCATCGTTCTGGTAGTCTTTAAAAACGATTTCCAGCAACTTCCGGCCTCAAAAAAAGGCACTCTAATGAATTTTCGAAACCAGAAAACGCGCAACGATAGCTTCGGCGGCTCAAAATCACTTCTAGCAGGCTAAAAAAGTTAAATTTTCAGCGAGTTATACTAGAACAGACAATTCTCAAGGAATTCTATAGAAATAAACTATCAGAACAGCCCTATTACCTGAAACATAGAATTTTTGAACCTCAAAACTCCGAAAAAACTACAAAATCACCACGATAAATCAAACTATCCAACTATTACAAATTATAGAGCTCAAAATCGACAAACCGGGGCCAGTTTTCGCTAGCTAATGGGTTTACGAGAGTTGTAGAAGCTTCACGAGCATTTTTAATCAGGGAAACGCCTCAAATCCGAAAATTTATACTGAACTAACCCGAGAGGAAAATTAATTGAGCCTAAAGAATCTTTCTGCGCCACCTGTGAGCTTGAAACATAGAATTTTGAGCCTGAAAAAACATTCTAACCAAACGATTGTAAGCTAAAAACGATTTCTAGCAACTTCTAGGGCTCAAAATCGACAAATGGAATCAGTTTTCCCGCACAAAAATCGAATGGCGATATTTTCTAATGCCTGAAAGCGCTTCCTGAGAACGAAAAAGCCAAATTGATAATTCGAAAAGAAAGAAACGGGTATTCCGGAAAGTTACAATATCAAAACTGCGCTATAGCCTGAAACATAGATTTTTCAATCCCAAAAATTCGAAAATCACCACGACAATTAGTAATTAAAAACTCCAGATACTAAAAATATCGTAGCGTCGCTCTGTAGAAACGTATTTTAATCAAAAACCAAATTAGTTTTTTTACACATTTATCATGAAAATCGGCGCGCGTGTGTCTGAAATCGACAAAAATCACAAATAGCAAAAACAACGAAAGGACAAGAGGGTGAAAATCGACAATTTTGGGGCAACGGGATTTTTTTAGGGTTGGAAAATTCAAGTGAAAAGCTAGGGAAAGAATTGTGGATTTTTAGTAGAATAAAATAAGCTTTAAAAAACAGGGAAAAGAGTGGATTTTATAAAGCAAAAAAAATCCGCATTATTTGACGTATTTGTCCATGAATTTCCGGTGGAACTCGGAGCGGATGGCGTCGTTGATGAACGTCGACTCCTTCTTGCGCTCGTCGAGGCCTGAAAAAGATAGAAATGGATAACGAAATTTTGTCTATTAGATAGAGCTTTCAATTCTCAACAAACTAGTGCTTTTAAAAAGTATAAAAATAACGTGAAAATCGCGAAAAATTACTTAAAATGAAATTTTTCACAAGAAAAAATATATTTTTCAAGTTTTCCTGGCCTTTTTCTAGTTTTTAAAAGTCATAATTCATGCAGAATTTCTTCTCTATCCTTTGCAACAACATACGGGTTTTTTTTAAAGCGGAAAAACAAGAAAAATCGATAAATGTTCAGAATTTTCTGCTCTATCTTCCTAAACATATTCCAGAGACCGTAGATCGAAACGTAGAAAACGAAAAATCTATTTTTAAAAACCAAAAAAAATCCATTTTTCTGGGGTTTATTAACTTTTAAAAGGATTTCCACGATCCTTGATCAGAATTTCTCTTCTATCTTTCTAAAGCAACAAGATAAAGCTCTAGAAAGTAGAAAAAGACACGGAAAATCGAGAACAAAAAACAGATTTTCTCGGCCTCCCAAAAAGATGTTTCTCGATTTTGCCTCTTTTTTGTCTATTTTTCAAAATCAATATGTTATCCAAATTATCTGCCATATATTTCCATACATATCCGATTTAAAACGTAGAAAAGGCTAATAAAAACTGAAAAACAGATTTTTCTCTAAAACTCTAAAAGCCATATTTTTTCGATTTTCTTAACTTTCAAAACTTTAAAAAAGTTATGACTTTTTCAGAATTTTCTGTTCTATCTTTCGAAAGCAACAAGATAAAGCTTTAAAGATCGGAAAAGACAAGAAAAATCGAGAAACCCATTTTTAAAAACTAAAAAATTATTTTTTTCGATTTCTTGACTTTCTAAACTTTAAAAAAGTCATGACTTGTTCAGAATTTTCTGTTCTATCTTTCAAAACAAATTAGAGCGTTTTAAAACGTAGAAAAAGACACGAAAAATCTAGAAAAACAGATTTACTCAGCTTCCCAAAATGATGTTTCTCGGTTTTGCCACATCATTTTCCACTTTTAAAAATCAATGAGTTGGTAGACTTTTTGTTTATCAAATCAGCTATAGAAATAAAGCTCAACCTCAATACCTTTAGCGCAGTTCTTAAAAACGACATCATCGTCCCAGCGCCGCCGCACCTTGAAGCCCTCCTCGCCCTGCTCCTTATCAAAGTTCAGCAGCGGGTTCCCGTGCAGCACGTTGTCCATGCGGATTTTTTCCTGAAAAAGTGGATAAAATCGAGGGCAGGCTAGCAGGGATTTTTGAGAAGTAGAGGGCAGGCTAGCCGAGACTCTTTGCGGAATTTGAGGGGAAGGTTAGCAGAGAAAATTTGCAGCAGCGCGAAACCATCAATTATAACAAATCCCAATAACTTCTGGTCCCGATTTTTTCAAACATTTAATTTTTGGACAAATAGCAGGGGTCTTTGA